CTCTAGATCCGGCGGAAAGAAGAGAGCAAGGGAGGAAGGAGGGACGGCCGGGGATAAGGTAAGACCGCCGGAGGAAGGAGGGAGGAGGGAGGGAAGGAAGAGAAGGGACGGAGGAAGAGAAGGGAGGAAGGAAGAGAAGGGAGGAAGGAAGAAGAAGGGAGGGAGGAAGGAAGCAGAAAGGTAGGAGGGAGGGAGAGGCGGGCGGCAGGAAGGCGCGAGGGAGGAAGGAGCGATGGTCGAGGGCGAAGTAACAAGACAAGGATGGAGGACCATTCGCCGAGGCAGAGGTCATGCTCTCTCTCTCTCTCTCTCTCGCGCGCGCGCGCGTGGAAGGGTACACTTGGCCTTATTGAAATCGAGAACAAAATGTGGCGTTCATGTAAATTGGAGAAAAAAAGAAAAATGAAATGCACTCTCTAGATCGGCCAGAAAGAACGGAGCAAGGAGGGAAGAAGGGAGGGTCGGAGGATAATGTAAGGCCATCGGAGGAAGGAGGGAGGGAGGGCGGGAGGAGGAGGGAGGAAGGAAGGAGACAGAAGGGCCGGGTCGTAGGAAGGGGCGAGGGTCAAGGGAGAAGGGTCGAGACAAGAATGGAGGATGATGGACGAGTGGAGAAGGGATGGTGATGGTGCCTCTCTCTCTCTCTCTCTCTCTCACACACACACACACACACACACACACAAACACACACGTGCGCGCGCACGTGCAAGCTGTTCACAATGTGGCGGGAAAGAAAGGATAAAAAAAACTCTAGATCGGGCAGAAAGACGGGACCAAGGAGGAAGGAGGAGGGACCGCGAACCGATGAATTACGGCAAACGGGAGGAAGGAGGGAGGGAGGAGAAAGGGAGGGAGGAAGGAAGGAGAAAGGGAGGGAGGAAGGGAGGGAGGAAGGGAGGGAGGAAGGAAGGAGAAAGGGAGGGAGGAAGGAAGGAGAAAGGGAGGGAGGAGGGAGGGCCAAGGGGCAGGAAGGGTCGAGGGACGATGGGCTGAGGGAAGAGGGGTGAGGATGGTGGCTCTCTCTCCGCGAGCACGCGCCCGAACAAACCTGCCCGCAGGGACACGCTTGCCCTTATTCAAATCGAAAACAAAACGTGGCGTTTACGTATGTTTGAAAAGAAGAAAAACGAAATTCTCCACAGATCGGGCAGAAAAAAGGCAGCAACGAAGGAAGGAGAGAGGGCCGAGGAATAAGGTATGGCCACCGGAGCAAAGAAGGGAGAAGAAGGGAGCCCGCAAGGAGGGAGAAAGGGAGAAAGGAGGGAGGGAGAAAGGGAGAAAGGAGGGAGGGATGGGCGGCAGGAAGGGGAGGGAGGGAGGAGCCCGGGTCGAGTGAGATGGGTCGAGACAGGAATGGACGAGGATGGACCGAAGGAGGAATAGTGATGGTGCCCCCCACTCTCTCTCTCTCTCTCTCTCTCGCGCGCGCGCGCGCGCGCCCAACCACACGGTTGTGGGATTTACGTAAATTGGGAAAGAAAGGAAAAATGGCATGCACTCTCTAGATCGGCAGAAAGAAGGGAGCCAGGAGGGAAGGAGGTGGGTCGCGGGAGAAGGGTGAAACACTAATGGAGGATGATGGGCCGAGGGAGGAGGGATGGTGATGGTGTCTCTCTCTCTCTCTCTCTCTCTCTCTCTCTCTCTCTCTCTCTCTCTCTCTC